TGATTGAACAATAAAAACACAAAATTACCTCCATACCTTTGTCACATAAAGCCACTCAACAGCTAAAACTGTTGCTCTAACCATGTTTTTAAACTAATTATTGCCTAAATAACTTAAATAAATCATATTTAAAATCACTCCTAAATAATTTGATGCTTTATTTCAAGTCATTAAGTGCAGTTCTGTGTGGTCTTTATCTCTTTTTTGCATCAAAACCACATTAATGTTTAAATACCACCTTGTTATATAGAGAGTTTACTTTAAGTAAATTGAATGTCCTCTGTGTTTTTCTCTCTTGATCCGGCTCTTGAGCACAGKCAGTGTCTCTGTGCTTCTGTGAGCCTGTTATCAGATTAGAAACTGGTCCCTTGACTCCTGCAGAAACACTTCTCTCTGCTTCTGACAGCTTGGATGAACAGGACGCAGAAAAAAATCCCCACTGGGCCACTTTGATGCAGCCCCTTTTTAATTTTTGTTTACATCAAGGTGTCAGGTATCAAACGTCACCACCCGCCAACACCTAACTGTTCCACTTTCCAGTCAAATTATCCGGTAGAAAACCTGCAATTAGGCTGCCAATAACCGCTTCGTTCTTTAAGTAAACTTCTGCAGCGGCTCGTCTCGTGTTCTGTGTCACGTTTTCCCAGTAAAGAAAAACTCAGAAATAAGCAGCATCAGAAACTCCGAAAGCTGCTGCCAAAAAAAAAAAAAAAAAAAAAAGAGACATAGCAATTTAGGCGGCGCCAAATTAAAATCCCAAAGCCTCGGGGCAACAATGGCATGTGGGGAAGGTTCATCCTCTGGCGAAAAAGAGGCAGCCTTTSAGGCAGTAATGTGTTTATTTACTGTCATCCATAATCTGCAACCCTCTGTTAGCCACRGAGTTTATTTAAATGTGTCATCTCACTTTTACCATTTCTTCAAGAATTCACAAAAACGTCTACCTGAATAACTTGCAGGTGAAAAATAAAGTTTGTGTCTGTACTTTTACAAATAGATTCATTGTTATTATGACCCCCCACGTGTAGCGGGGGTCTTGTTGTTTTCATACTTTTTTTCACTGATATTTGGTCACCTGTAGCACAAAACCGGCTGCACCAATTAATACAAAATTTGGCAGGAATGTAGACGTGTCCAGCCTACACTGTACCAGCCAATGGTTTTATGATGGACCCCATATTTGAGGAGGGGGCTCCATCTAAAAATGGGGTCTCTGCTTATAATGCTTATAACTCAAAAACTATTCAACATAGTAGCTTCAGTTTTTTATTTATTTATTTATTTTTTGTTTAGCTCTGATGAAGGGCTATCCATCGGGCCCACCAATGATCCCCCCACCCAGACCCCCACCCAAAACACTAAATTCACTGTTTGCTGCTGTAAATTCCGATCACAATGTTTCAATGTTTTCATTGGGTTGTTGTTTTTCATTAAATGGTTTCATCTGTCCAATCAGGACGAGCCATCCAGCACGTGAAGGAAAACATATTCACGGCTGAGGGAGGCGTCAGGAGGGGGGTCCCCAACGTCCTCGTGGTCCTAACTGATGGTCGATCCCAGGATGACGTCAATAAAGTCTCCAAAGAGATGCAGATGGAAGGTCAGAACTCTGGTGTTGGTGGTTTATTTCCATTTTTCTTTTGTCCGGGCTGAATTCTAGTGTTTTTGAGTTTTATAGATTCCATCTGCATTTGATAGCACCAGATAAAAACAAAACCCAGACTCAGTTTTCAGCCTCATTGATCCTTCTTTCTGCGTTTTGCTCTAAAGGTTACATTGTGTTTGCCATCGGTTTTGCGGATGCCGACTATGGGGAGCTGGTGAGCATCGCCAGCAAGCCGAGCGACAGACACGTCTTCTTCGTGGACGACCTGGACGCCTTCCAGAGGATTGAGGAGAAGCTGGTGACCTTTGTGTGCGAGGCTGCGACCGCCAGTGAGTGACTGTCAAAACAAAGCTTCAGCTCTCTGGATAGAATGAGAGCAGACATAAAAACAGTGTGTAGTTTTGAATCCCAGCAGTAAAACATCTTGTTTGTCTTCACCAGCTTGTCCATCAGTACGAATGAGTGGCAGTACAACTCCAGGTTTGAGCTTTTTTTTTCTTTAATTCAAATGATTTTAAAATGTTTTTGAGTATAAAAACACAAAGCAAACTGTAAGAAAAACTCACTATATTTTTTCCATACTTGGAGTTTTGGGTCCTCATATTTAGGTCTTTTAATCAGAGCGAATATTTTGCACTGATTTATGCTGCTTATTGTTGTGTGTTGTTGCTGCAGCAAKAATATCAAAGCCCAATAACCTACTTTGTTGCACAAATGAGTTCAACAGCATTAGTTTGTGAGTCCTGTGTTGTTTAGTTTCATAAATAGTGCAATAAAAGTTATAAAAGGAACAAGCAGTCCTGATTTAAACAACATTTTTGAAATGCATATTATTTCTTTTGCACATGTTTTGTGTTAGGTTGTATTCTACACTCTGTACTAAGTATACTACTAAGTATATTTGAAGTTTTTCCATTTTAGTATTTAAAAGTATACTTAATACACTTAAAATTGTGCTTTTGCACAACTTAAATACAACTAAAKTATATTTAGAATTAAGTTAGTTGTTCCAAAATAGCACTCTTTAAGTRTACTGATGATTAGTGTGGCTTCAAGTATACTAAAGTATACTTAGATTTAGTATAGTTAATATATTTTTTCACCTGGGTGTTTTACTTCATACTAAGGTACTGCAAACGTATTAGGCTACCAGTTTACTGAAGGCTGAATTAAATAATGGACTACTCAACAGTCCCCTATTTAATTAAGCCTTCAGTATACTGGTAGTCTAATACTTTTGCAGTACCTTACTATGAAGTAAATAATGTACAAAGTAGCATAGAGTAGTACAACTTCAGAAAAGTACTGTATTTATATTTGCAATATGTTTTTTTGAAATGTGCATTAAAAATAAACACTTTTACAAACATACAAAGTATATTTAAAAAATGTATAAAGTATAGTTTAAATTACATATTTAAAATAAATGTAAAGTGTATTTAATAAAAAATATTTTTCTAAAGTGTACTTGAAATGTATTTTTAAACAACATATATTAAGTATGATTTTTGAAATATACTTTTTTACATTTTGAATATAATCCTCAAAAGTATATTCTATTGATAATATATTAAAAATATATTTCTGTAAAATGCAGTCTATTTAAAATATACTTTAGTAATTTTTTTCGTGTGTATAACCTTACCTAATTTCCCTCTGGGATCAATAAAGTATTTTTGAATTTGAATTGAATTGAATTGAATATAACATTTTAGCATTTAAACCAAACAGTAAATATCACTTAAACCCTTAACTGGTTGTGTTTATATAATGCTAAATGTGTCCCCTGCTTCATGTCTTCAGGTTTCCGTATGATGGAGCTGTTCAGCCTGGTTGAGGATCAATACAACAGCATCTCCGGTGTTTCCATGGTTCCTGGCACTTTTAATACATTCCCCTGTTTCCACCTGCACAGCAATGCTCTGCTGGCTCAGCCAACCAAGTATATCAATTGATTTTCTTCTTTTTTTAAAAACTATACATGTACCATTGCTTTCTCGTATTTTTTTATAATTATTTTTTTTGCTGACATCGTCAGGGGCCTCACTGATGAGAGATGTTTGTCAAAGTGAGCTAAAAGAGCAGCTAATGGCTGATTGTTTCTGACTGTTCCAGAACCCAGGATTCACGCTGAACTAAGAGAGAAATAACCAAAAAGGTTTAACAATGTGTACCTGAATGTTTTGTTTCCATCCCGACTGACAGGTTCATCCATCCTGAGGGGCTGCCCTCTGACTACACCATCACTCTGCTGTTCAGACTGCTGCCCGACACACCRGAGGAGCCCTTCGCACTCTGGGAGATCCTCAACAAGGACAACGATCCGCTGACCGGAGTCATCCTGGACAGTGAGTGGAGAAACAAGCAGTCAAAGCAAAACTAAAGTCCTTATAATTTCAATAGCTAGCATTTAAGCATGGAGGACTGAAATTGACATAACTAGAAATAAAAGCAGAAATACATAAATGGACCAATAAATAAATAAATACACTTAAAATGTACCAATTAAATTAAAAATGAAAACTCACTAGAAAGGAGCAGGATCCACGTGCAGATCTACTGTGCTGCTTGTGCTGCCTCAGTTTAGTTTAAAGTTTATTTTAAAACAAAGGCACAGGTGAGAGTTTTCCTTCTTGCCTTTGTTTTAAGCTAAGCTTTGAACTTAAAGCTAAACCGAAGCAGCACAAGCGTGCACAGTAGATCTGCGCATGGATCCTGCTCCTTCCTGTCCGTTGACCAATAGGAGAGGAGCTGACCCAAGAGGCCCCGCCCACTTTATTTGCTTAATGGGGCAGGAATGCAAAAGGTAAAGTTAATAGAGGGGACAAAGAAATGTAAAAAAAAACATGGAAATAAAAAAAAAAC